CCCTCCCCTCTGCAGCTGCTGCCATCGCCCTCCCAGGAGCACTGCGGCAGCCCCGAGGTCCTGGAGCAGATCTACCGCTGCAACCCGATCCTGCGCTACACCAGCAGCCCCCTCTACGCTCCTCTGCTGCCCTTCCCCTACGGCAGCCTGGACCAAAGCGGTGAGGGGCAGGCGGGGGTCCTGTGCCCCGGGCTGGTGGGAGCGATGGCGGGACAGGGCTGGGTGCTCTGCAGGGCAGGCAGGTGTGGGGCTGGGCCCTGTCTGGCCCTGGGTGTGAGTATGGCACCTGGCTGCTGGCAGGCACGGGCCTGGGGAAGCCCGTGGGGCTGTTAACCCCCATCCTGTCCCGCAGCACCCGGCCCCTGCAGCTACACCACGCTGCGCGACGAGGCTGTGAAGCTCTTCAACTCGCTGCAGCAGCTGGAGTTGGAGCGGGACCCGGTGCCGCTGATGCAGGGCGTCCTGCAGACCTGCCTGGACCTGCCACCGCTGGTGGATGAGATCTACTGCCAGCTGGTGAAGCAGACCACGGAGCCGCCGGCGCCGGGCGGGCAGGGCGACCTGCACTACTGGCAGCTGCTCACCTGCATGAGCTGCACCTTCCTGCCCTCCCTGCCCATCCTGCGCTTCCTGCGCTTCCACCTGGACAGGTGAGTGCCGGTGGAGCCGCCGGGCGCCAGCTGCGGGCAGGGAGCTCGCTGGGTGCTGGGGCCCCGGTGCTGGCTGCATCGGGTCAGTGCCACCATGACCCTCCTGGCATCTCTTGCAGGACGGAGAGCCGGTTCCCTGCTTCGGAGATGGCCAAGTACGCCTGCTTCATCCGGGAGGCGCTGGGGAAGACGAAGGGGCGGGAGTGCGTGCCCTCCCTGGAGGAGATCCTGGTGCTGATGCGGCGGCAGGAGATGATCTGCACTGTGCACTGCCCGGGGGCACCCGCCTGCAGCGTGGCCATCAGCTCCCACACCACGGCCGAGGAGGTGAGGGGCCACGTCTGTGCCGGGCAGGGGGCTCAGGAAATTTCGGCACGCGGTGCTGGGTGGGCAGTGTGCCATAGAAGGTGAGGGGTTCCTGTGGGTCTCTCCCAGCTGAGCCACGGTGGAGAGGGGCTGGGGGCCGCTTGCCTTTGCCCGCCATGACCTGTCTGTGTCCCTTTGCAGCCCTGAGCGGCCAGGGACGCGCAGTCACCATCGGTTGCCTTTGTCTCGCCCCAGGTGGCCCGGGAGCTGGTGTCGCGCCTGGGGCTGTCCCAGAGCCCCAACCTCTTTGCACTCTATGAGCAGTCCCAGCGTCGGGAGCAGCCCGTGGGCAGCGCCACACTGCTGGCTGACATCCTCACCAGGTTTGAAAAGTAAATGTCCTGCTCTGCTGCCTACGGGGG